AGATGCAAAAAATACCGCGAGGGCAATGATTAAAATAACACCGACTCATTTAAATCCAAATCCATTTCAGAAAATGAATTGCAAATTGGCTATACAATTATTGAGTAATTCAGTTTCTGCAGCAATAAAAACTTGCATTGCCACTGGTGAGATTAAGTCATCAACAGCTATTAATACAGCTAATTTCATCGACGTAGTTAACAAAATGTTTGATTCGGCTAATAGTAAAAATTTGTGTGACCCAAATCCAAATAGAAGACCAATGTCTAACCGTAATCCACAAATATTTGAGAATTTAGAAAAGGCAAAAAAACTATTTAAAAACACAATCAAAATTTGTCACAGAACGAAAAAAACAAGCATTCCGCCATGTTTTATTGGAATTGTTTGGACAACAACAGCTATTCAGCAGCTTTATGAATCTGAAAAATTAGAAATGTCTGCAGTAACCCCTTTCACAAATATAGAGTACTTTCTATTGACAAATCGCTTAACGCAAGATGCTTTAGAAAATTTTTTTTCAATAATGCGTCAGAAGAATGGGTATGTAGAAAATATAATTTATAATTTATTAGCTTAATATTTTCACTGATTATAAATTATAAATTATAATAATAGTATAATAGCTACCTAATAATAATTATTATTACCTATATACTATTTATATAATAAATAGGTATGTTATTAATTATTAAAATTTATAAATTATAAATTTAAATATAAAAATTACTATTTTAATTTAATTCATTCTTATTATACAATGTGTGTAGTTACACTATTCGTACAAAAAAATCGTATTATAATTAAAAATTAATTGTGATTATAACAATATTTAAATGCTAACAGGTATAACAGGAATCCTACCGCTAGAACGCTCCGATGCTGTTTTGGACATATATGTTCATACAGTTTGATGCAATGTACCTCAACGTGTAAGAATTGTGAAACTGATGAAGCCGAGTTTCTTACTGTAGACGTTTTGAAAGATGTTTCGATTGATCCTGCAGTTGAAGAATTAGTTACGAATACAGAAGAAACAGGAGTTGAATTAAGTACTTCGCCGGAAGATTTAAATAATCGAAAAGTGTACTGCGAGCAACCATCACTAGAATCTTGTTCCATAGTTTATTTTGCAGGCTACTTAGCAAAAAAGTGTTTGGATAAGTTTTTATGCACAGATTGTGATTTGACTAAAAACAAAAATGAATATTTAAACGAACCACCACAAATTTTAATTCTAAAAAAAACGTTCGACAACGTTGGACTGGCGCAAGGTCTCAAAATTCCATCGGATAAGCTTGTAGAAATAGTTGAAATTTGTTTAAATGTATTTGAAAATTATTTTCCAAAAATCAAGACTGAAAAAAAAATTATATTTTCATTTAAAGAAAAGGCTCTACCAATAATATACCAAAAATATTCTGATGTCGAGAACTCCACATGTCACAATCATTATATGTATATTATTGAGTTGTTGTTTAGAACAAAATTATATAAAGAATGTAAAGTGGAAAATACTAACGTAAGAAAGCGAGTAGTGCAGGACACGGATAAGTTACGTATATTACAGAATAAATGATAATATTATATTTTTTTTTTATTATTATAATTAATATTAATGTTAATTTTTAATTTTAGTATTTTACAACTTGTATTAAGTCGCCGTGACTGCCCGTGAGTATATTCTAAACATTTAAATAATTTTATGAAATATATATATTATATACAAGTAGTATACCTAATAATAATTATATAACTATAATTAATAATAAATGGCAAGTTTACTTTATGTTTCGAATTTAAATCTGACGAAGTGTGACTACACTCTATATACAAGTAGTTAGCTAAGTCATAGATTATTCTATGGTTCAGTGGCGGCGTGAAAAGCTATTTTATGATGCAGTTGCTTCATAGGAAAAAATAGTTCACGCCGCCACTGCAGTATGGTTAAATAACACGAATTTATTAAGGTACCTACGTGCAATCAAAAATTTGTTGTGTAGTTTAAACTGTTAAAATATTGTTTATTTGCTTATAACTTATAACATTTCACTATTTTTCTGTAAAACAAAAAAAAATATATTTAGGCTTATTTAGCCTGTTAGTACGCCTGTTTTCTCCAGCACCGCACTCGGCCAAATTCATTCATAAATCCTAATTAATAATTTTCCTAATATAAATATGTCGGAGCGGTGGTTAACAGGCGGCCAGCGCGGCGGGACACCACGATTACGACGATAAACGGATAAAAACCAGTTATCCCCGCACTTCACTCCAACATAGTTACGGCGGCTGGAATAAAATACGAATTTATTAGTATTATTGGTTCTTATCGCCATCTACCGAGAGTTTTATTGTACGCCACCGAAAATACGGCCAGTGAGCAATCTATAGTATTTATAATCAATGATAATACGATATCAGACTATCGACGTTAGAGGTATGCCCAGTAAACGCACAAATTTGTACCGGTTGAGGACTGAAAGCTAGACACACAATTACTGTTTTCTTTATGCATTTATCCTTTTTGCACGCACAAAAGAACAGGGCATGCGACGGGTCATGTATCAAATACGCCATACACAGATGCCCTATAACTCATGGATTTGCATACAACGATGATTGATAGCTAGACATTCGATTACGACTAGACACTTTTCCGAGTTCAAAAATTACCGCTTAATCAGTGCTGCCAACACAACAAAACACAATAACCGACGACCCCCCCGTTTAAACCCAGCATCGCCGACAAAGATGCACCACCGCCCACACAGTCTTTCCGCCGCAGGCGGGATGACAAACGCCAGAATCTAGTTATTATTATATAAAAGGGGAAAATACTTAAATTTTATACTTACGTAACGCTCTTTATGTTATAATTTCAGGTACTTATATTATTTTATTAAAAGATTATTAATCCTTCTTATTAACACTATTTATTTAATTAAATCATGTATTAATTTTATTTTACTAACCACAATATACAAATTGTAATATGAATAATAAAAACAATAATAATAATAATGATGACATTAAAAATTGTAAAATGTTCACATTATTGTAATCAAATGTAATACTAAAATCAAATTGTTAACTGTATACAAAAATTGATATCAATGTAAACAATGTAATTCAACCATTGTAAACTATTTAATTAACGATGTTAAAGATTGTTAACCCTTAAAGGTTAACAATTTTTTTTTGGTAGGGAGGTGTAATGGGATTACGTAAAATCATGTATTTGCTCATAAAAACAACCAACGCTAATTTTATTGTATTATTTAAACAAGATGAAACTAATTTTTTGGGTATAAGCTGCACACATCGATGTACTTAATTTTTTTATTTTTAACCAAAAATTTTGTGGCATTGGTTCTTCCTCCGAAAAAAATCATCTCTGGGGTTTAGTGGCTCAATTACATCATTTTGGGGCATTTTTATAATCCTTGTGCTTTTTCCACTTTCAGCTCCACATCTCTTCGATTTGGTACCCTTTTTGCTGTAAATGAATTGTCCGTTTTAAAGTATATACGTCATTCATAGTGTTGTTATTGACGGGGTTACTACTGAAACAATCCGGACAACCGTGCCAGAAACAGCCGTGATACTGATATACTTTTTTCTCCGTCTCATCGTATCCTTCTACTCTAGCACCACATATGGTAACTTCTCCACCGTTTAAAGCGTGTTTTATATTTTTATTTCCGTTCAAAATTTTACTTTTTAGCCACTTTATGGATTCGTCTGAAAAATTGTCCCTTTTAACATTTTGAACGACCGCTATAGTGCCACCCAACAAGTCGTTATGTCGATAAATAGCCATAAAAACACTAGCGATCGTTATATATTTAAAAGGGTCAATATTAAAAAACGTCCAAAAATTGTTTCCTAAGCTCCAAACACCCTTTTCGTAATATATCGACGTCTGAATTACAATATTCTTCCAACTCCTTTTTAAAATCAAATACGTAATTTTGATTTGTTAATTCGTCATGCCAATTTATAAATTCTGCTCGGTGCTTGGTCGTCATACAATTATAACCATAATAAATCTTGTCCGGTAAAGGTCCTACATATTTTTCATTTTCAGGTGTATTAAAAAAATGAGGGAAGTATCCCTTTTTTGCCTCTGTAAGTCCAAACGTTTTCGGAAATTCAGATAACTTTGACTGAATAAAATTATGACTATCTATGAATTTAATGTTTAAGCCACTATATTTTATTTCGAGCATCATTATTTATGTCCCGTTACGAATTACTTCGTACTTGACGGTCGGTATATTTTTTAAAATGTACTGTATACTAAAATATGTGTCGTACGCTTTAGAATTATGTGCTATGTAAGTTGTTCCTTTCATTACTTTGCTCAGTGCCCATTTACAAAATTTATCATTGGCCGAACCAGCGTCGTCTGTAGAAAATACATATTTTCGGCCTTCAAAATTGTGAGCAATAACCATATTTGGTATGTGCGTACCGGTGTTTTGCTGTGCTTCGTAATCAAAAAATACATAATTCTTTGTAAACGTACAGTTATTCAGTTTCTCTGTTGATTTATCGTTACAAACACATGCTTCTACACAATATCCTCCTTTACCTGTTCTTCGCTGCATATAACATTTTATGTTCACTTAATCGAATGTTTTCTTGCTTACAATTGTGACATTGTCCATAACCGCAAACACTGAAGTGTGTATGATCATTCATCTGTACAACAAAATTGCAACCGTCGCATTTATATTCTTTATCACAAACGTCTTTATGCTTTCTTAAACAGTCATTATTAACGCAATAACGGTTACACTCGTGACAGTAATTTTTTTTGCTTACAAAGTTGTGTATGTGATATTTTTCGTTACATAGCCTACACTTTTGCCCTGGTCCTTTTTTACAGGAGTGCTTCTTTTTATTGTTATACCCCGTATCGCATAACTCGCAGTAGTACACACGTTCTCTAAACGCCGACATAGAAAAAATAGAATGAAAATGATCATCTTTTTTCAAAAGGTAAACTTTGTATTTCCGGTGTAGTCGATTTCACAACAATTATCGGCGTTTACGACTTTAATTTGAATTTTGAGCAATTTTTCAACCTTTGATATGTCACGATACGTAAACGGCCTGTTGTCATTCACTTCTAATTGTTGACATAGTTCTTTTGTCAAACGTGTTTGTACATCGTATTTACCAAGTCGCAGGTTTTTGATTTGGTAATCGTTTAAGTGTTGTCCCAATATAACCGAGGTCTTGTAAGATAGCCCCACTATAATAGCACGGGGGCAACATAATTCATCCTGATTTTTAATTTGTGCTATACATCTTTTGTTTTTGCTAAATAGGTCCAAGTACTCCCAGGTCGGTTTAGGTTTTCCACCTTTAGGCATTATGATAACTTGAAAGCCGAATACCGTATCGTTGATGTTAACTGATTGATCCGACGTTAATATATCACTTATTTTATTTAAAATTTTCTGTCCTGACACATTGGACGTCATATTACCATTAGATATTGGTGCAAAAAACTTCGGATTGTTGGCATGCGTATTAACGATGTTCCCATCAGCGATATTTGTAATTTTTTTAATATTTTCAATCATATTTTGTAATCCTTCCTCCAGTAACGTATTTAAACTAACTATGTCTAAATCCCCAGACATAGGTTTTAATGTGATATTATAATCAATCATATAAGCATTATACTTTTTTATAAATTTAGTTTTCTTATTGTTAATTTTCAACAAGTCAGACTCTAAGATTTCAACACACACCGATCACAACTGTTGTCTGCTAGTTTTTCTTTTTTTGTTCCGGCCGGTGCATCACCTAAATATATACACTAATATAAGCATATTATACACTAATATAAAAATGTTAAATAAATACTTTGATTAGAAGGTCCAGCTTGTATATTGTCAACGAAAATATTTTGGGCTACTTCAATCATATTCTGATGCTTACCTAGAAAAAAAAAAATGTTGTTATATAAATATAAATAGCTTATACAGTTTATCATACTTTTTTCGAACTCATCCATCACTTTATCATAATATTCGTCGTCGCCGTCGTCTTCAAACATTATATCATCTAGCAAAATAAAAATATTAATGTTTGACACTAAATATAGATGTAATTTTCATACTTTTTTCATTGGCTTTTTTTCAAGGGAGACATTCCCGCTTGGAGCACTCAGATTTACCGTGTAACATAATTTCACACTGATTGTTCACCAAATTTTGTTATACACAAAAATTTTTAACATTTACTAATCTTAAAACTAAAATAATTATTTCAAGAAAAAACACAAATTATTAAATCATAGTTTTTTTATTGTTACAAATAAATTCTTAATTATATTTACACACCTATATACAAACCGAAATATGCGTCAGTTTATCGGATTACGCGCCAAGTCGTATGCCTACGATATCGAGGGTGCCGTGAATATCAGATCCAAGGGAGTCCAGGGACATGTTATTAGAAATCACCTAACTTTCAACGATCACATGCGCTGTTTGTTCACCGACGACGATGGTTCGGACGCGGATGATTATCGTGATAAAGAGTTCGACGCGTCAACGGGGAGGCTGATAGCTTGAGATTGCGCGCGTATTGTCATTGGGCGTATACACCGAAACACCGTGATTGCAGCGGTTCCACCGACAACTACACAACACCCGCCGTCTTCACCACCACCGCCACTACCACTACCAACACAACAACAATCCTATATGCCGTATACGGCGTATAGAGAGAATATATCTATCCGTTCGTATAAGCACCAAGTCAGCACGATTAGGACTAGTAAATTAGTCCTAAACAGATTCGATGACAAACGACATATTCTCCCTAATCGTATTGATACTCTCGCACATGGACATTATCGAATTGATTGAATAATCACAAAGAAAATATTGTTATCATTATCACAATTATTATTATTACTAGATTCTGGCGTTTGTCATCCCGCCTGCGGCAAAAAGACTCTGTGGGCGGTGGTGCATCTTTATCGGCGATGCTGGGTTTTTTGATCCGGCCTGCGGCGGGAATGGGGGGGGGGTCGTCGGGTATTGTGTTTTGTCGTGTTGGCAGCACTGGTTCAGCGGTAATTTTTGAACTCGGAAGAGTGTATAGTCGTAAGTCACGCGATTCAAGTCGATCGTACGACACAGCCAGCCAGATAGGCCATCCGAGGATCGCAGACGACGCCCCGGGCGTGTATGTCCGGTTCAGGAGTGTGTGTGTTGAAATCAGAAATTCGGATTCTGAGTTTGAGTGTCTAGCTATCAGTCATCTCGGGTGAAAGTCGATTCCCGAACGGACAATCCGCCTACAGCGAAAAGTGCTCGAAACGGCCGTTCAAATCTGAAAAAGCATATAGGAGGTAACAAAATTGTACTTTTTGATAATTATAGAGAACAGTTATCAGCTGCTGGTGTAGGCTTCATTGTAATCAATGTAATCATTGTTATGTTTTTGCGGTTATAACAAATAAGTCGACAAAATCTAATTTTCTGATTGGCAGCTATTTTTACCGCGTCAAGAGACATCTAATGCATTGCCAGCTGCATGTTGTTTGGTTTTTATCAATCATTTCTCAAAACATCTTTTAAGTGAGTAAACGTCGGTTATAGTATTAAAATAATATTTCTTAGGTTATGTATCGAACAATTTCATACGTATTTGAATAAAACAATTTTTTTTTTTTTTGAAATCTAGCATGCCGAAAGACGTCAGCCACCAGTACAACGGCCTTGGTATGCGGGTGTACAATGCACCCGTGTACCACGATTTGCCTAAAAAATAACCCCGGAAAAAATAACCACGGAAAAAATAACCCTATAATAAAAATGTATTATTTATTTATTTATTCGACGTATTGTTCCACATCACTTAGTTTCGTCAAAATATTGAAATAACTCCTCGGAGGAATAATTAATTTTAAATATTCAACACCTTCTTGTAGGTAACCTATTTAGTGGTAAAAAAGGCAAGCCATCTAACATAGGTAGGTACCACAGAATTCATCAAAATCATAATCTTCTTGGTATTTTTTTTTTAATCCTAATACTGTCAATTTTCTGTGAGTACTCTGGCATAGGTGATAGAAACATCGTACGACGTAGCCACGTAGGTAATAGCCAATAGGTATGTTATACATTTTGTATTGATTTGAGATTAATTTGCAAAATCTCATATTATGGCAATTTAGCCTATGGGGTTATTTTTTCGGGGTTCTTTTTTTCGGGGTCTAAATTTCCGGGGTTATTTTTTCGCGGTACCGTGTACCACAATGCTGTCCCCGTGCGGTGTCCGAGAGGAAACGCCCGACGTAAGTATCTAATAGAAAAAAGCACATGCGTATTGCATAAGCCAAGTATAACACTAAACATGATTTGTACGTTTCAGGATGTCACAAGTGCCAACAGGTGGGTCACCTGGCGAGGAATTGTGGTAAGTTTGTCCTATTATTTATTTTTTCACGTGCTAAGCTTTTCTAAATTTTATCAGACTCCCCCTGCGTGGTACCTGCGGCATCGCCGGGCTCCTCCTCTTCGGTGCCGCAGCAGCAACAACAACAGCAGCAGCAACCGCAACGGCAGCAGCAACCGCTACGGCAGCGGCAACCGCAACGGCAGCGGCAACCGCAACAGCAGCAGCGAGGGTCGAGGCGGCGGGGCCGTGGGTTAAGGTAAGATCGCAAATACCAAAATATGTCAATAATCATCAAAAACATAAAATGTATTGTTTTCAGTAGTTTTGTCGGTCAAACGCCGAGGGCGGTGCTGGAGCCGGCAGCAGCCTCGACTCCCAAATCGACGGGTGAGGAGGTGGGGTTCACGACCCCCTCCTCAACGCCTGTAACTCCAACGTAAGAATAGTCAATATTATATAAATAAAAATATTAAAAAAATATAATTATATACATCATTTTCAGTGTGATCGGGTCGGAAGGCAGTGGGAGGTGGGAGGTCATGGACGATGGTAAGTTTCAATTGGACGATTTTGTCTACTTCATAATTTATTTAACAATTGTATTTTATTAAATATTTTTCAGAATGAATAAAGCACCATTTCATGTAACTTTTATTGTTATTTATTATTTCCTTGTTCCCAATTGTTTTATGAACTGTAACTGTAACGTTTGTCAATTGACAATTGTGTGTGAGGTGTGTCTGTTGTTAACAGTAATATATTATTAGTTAGTAATAATAAAATAGGTAAGTGATGTGTGTTGCTAGTTGAAATGTAAGTGTTGAAAACCTTGTCTTGATTTTATTCATCAGAATAGAGTTTACTTCACAAAATGTGCTAAAAGATAATTAATCATTATAACTGTAGTCCACTGGTGTTCAAATTCAGTAGTTTTATAAAATCCCACATTGTAATGACATTGTCGGGCAAGTGTATACTAAAAAGTAATTGATAATATAAAATAATTAATAATATTGTTGTTGAGAATATAAAGTAGTTAAGTGTTATCTGTGACAATTAGTATATTATATCATTGATTATAAATACGTTTATATATATATATATAAATAATATAAGTATTTATAATCAATGATTATAATATGTAGGTGCTGTTCAAATAGCTTGGCAACGGTCATTAGACTAATTGCAATAATTAAACCATAAATCTGTTTTTCAGTACCAATTAGTGTAATGACTTTCCAAATTTTTTAATATTAGCAGCAACATATTAATAAAAATAATAGTAGTGTGATAAATGTTACTATACATGAGAGTATTAATAAATATTTTTTTTTCATATGATAAGATGTGTTCCAAGCTATTAGCTACGTGCTACATAGATGAACAATTAAGGTATGACTGTTATCTATAGTGTTAGTTGGAATAGTCTATATCAATCGTTGATCGACCAATATTTATTTATTTAAACCAATAATTGATCATACTCAGAGATAAAGACCTAACAACTATATAATATTAAATATATGTGTATTATCATCTATAGACAGTAATATATAATAATAAAAGTCATACACAATAAGTATAATAATAATAAGTATAATACAATAAGTATAATCAAACGTAATAATATGTATAATAATTGAAATACTACAGTCACAGTTAACCAACCATCATATCGCACCCTTGGTACAAGACCGCCACAACTCAGAAAACATAGTTTTGAGAAAATTAAATTTTAAATTGTAATCTGCTCCCAAATCGTTACTTTTAAAACTTAAGTTTTAAAACTTTGCAATTATCCATGTTACCTGAAACTTAATATTTGTTTATTGATCTACTTCGTTAAATCTCAATCAGACACAGGTAAATTAGGTTATGGCAGTTTAGAAATAGGAATCGGAATAACAAAACTGCCACATTTAGTTTTGTGTCGGTATTTCATTTCAAACCAAATATTTTATGCGCCACAAAATGAAATGGGGCAGTCTTGATTTTCTTAATAATTTCATTTAATGCCACAACACAAAATGTGGCAGTCTGTTGTTTGCTTATATAATAAAAAGTAATTTTTTCACATGACACAACTAGGTACTAATTTACACAAGACATTTTTATAAATAATTGTTTCTATTATTGTGACTTGGTTTAAGTAATAACACATATTTTAATGCAAGTAATAACATTTAAATAAAGAAAATTAATAATAAAAAATGAAAACTTTTACATAATATAATTAAGTATAGAAACTAAAAATAAAGTATTTTCCCTCATCTTTGATGAATAATATTTATAAGTAATAACACAATATGTAGGTACCTAATGAAAGTAATAACATTTGAATAAACAAAATAATAATAAAAACTTTTACATAATATCATTAAGTAACGAAATTAAAAATTTAAAAATAAAGACTTTTCCTTCTTCTTTGGTGAATAATACTTTTATCTATTGATAAACAAATTATAAAACTTATACTTATACAAATGGCTATATTATTATTAAAAATGTAATTTAATTGTTTATGAATCATAGATAAAATTGAATATATTATAGTCTTATTTATCTTATATTATATAATTATGTTTTCAAAAAATAGTTTATTAAACTTAGTAAAAATAAAAATACTAATCACTGTTCTCGTCATTGACTTCAGCAACACAGGAATTTGATACTTTCAAATTTTCGAAAAAATAATGATAGTTTTCAGGAATCAATTTACTTTCACAAAGATGAATTAGGTCTTTTTTTTTTTCTTTTGAAATACCTGGTGGTTCAGTGTAGAGTTTACTTAACTCTAAATCACAACTTTTTCTTTTGGCATTTCTTGTTTTGTTCATCACTATTATTTCACCAAAATCCTTCTCTTCATATGATGTTTTATAAAAAAGTCTATCAGGATGTTCTTTAGAAACTTTCAATACTTTTACATCTTTCCAAACAACTTTTTGTCCTAATATATTCTTGTTAAAATTGTTTCCCATATTAGATGTCAATTTCTTGAAATCAATAAAATGTTGATAGTTTAATTCATGGACTCTAAAAGGCTTTCCTGTTTTTTTTTCTGATTGAATAACAGTTACCCATTGTTGAGGAGAGTAAATAGAACCTGCTTTTAATAATCTTGTTTTTTGTTTTTCTATGACTGAATGGACAGAATCCCCTTCGTTCTGGGTATGTCCAACAATTAGGTACTTATGAGTAATAGAAGAAATACTCAAGTATGTTACAGCATATAAATAAAGAGTGGCCATAAATTTATTTTTCTGCTGACCACTACAATTATCAGAATAGAATATTGTATCTTTATTTAAACAATTTTTAATTAAAAACTGACAATTTCGTTAGCCCCACGCTTGGCCTGGTCTTCATTCCATAAATAGCAATGAGCTTCAGTAATACCCATATTATAGACAGTAAGATTATAAGTGGCAAACTTACGAGAGTAATAAAAATTGGATACTTGAGCAGAAGGTGTTGTCAAAATGCTTTGCAAATCATAACAGGCCACTATAATTTTTTCTTTGTTTGTTTCTGCCAAGTTCTTATCATTTTGTTTTTCATTCCTAGAAAGTTCAGTTTCAAGTTTGTGTCTGTGTTTATCATTTTGCATTTTTAATCTGTCACTTTCATTTGAATTATTAAACGTTTCACAAAATGCGCATTGATCTGTTTTTGGTATAAAAAAGCCTATGTTAAAATGTGTATTGAAAATATAAGAATAGGTACTAAATTTGCAAGATACTTTTCCATCATCTTCACACTTTTTTAAAAATAATCGATACATTTCAGCAATAGTTAAAGCACCATCAATATATTGCCTTGTTGTTTGTTTTCTTAGGTAGTGTGACTCAACACGAGGAAATTCATTTATATGGTCAGTGACTAGGGTTACTATTTCAGGACATAGCTTCTTATGTTTCCCATGGTTTCCTCTTAGTTCACCTTCGACATATTCTTTGTTATAGCCACCTTTTTTTAAAGCAGTTCTTATTGTTCTATCACCAATATTGAGAGTAGCCATAAAAAAAAGTTTGCAAACCCTGTAGTTGATACCTTCCAGAGATAAAAAAAATGCATTGTTAGATGCACGGTTACTATTTTCCTTTTTATACTGATGTTTAGGTTCAATAGTAGTTGTAGATTTAACTATAAATGCTCTTTGTCTAGTTAAATCCCCCATTTTCCAGTAGGCCTGTAGTATTCGTTCACGTTGTTCCTCAGTCAAACTAGAAGAGCATTTATATTTGCATGTAGAATTACAAGAAGGTTGCAATTTTCTTTTATCTATATTATGTCCTTTAGAATTTTGGTAAGACTCTCCTAGGTTCCTTTTTGTTTTCCTAGTTTCTCTAGTCCAACTTTTTATACATTTAACTTTTTTGCGAGAATTTTGCTTACTTATTGCTGCATTTGTGGTTGTTAAGTCAATATTTTCTAATTCTGGATGGTGGTTAGCTATAACATCTGCTTCAATATCTCTAACATTATTATTGACACCCTCGTCTACTGATGAATCAAGTGATATTAAGTTTTTTTGCCTATTTTCAATCACCCAATCTTTATCTTTGTCACTGTCATCAAATTCAGAGTGGTTGCTACTGTATTCTATGAATTAAAATAAACAGTTATTAAATTATGGTTTAAAAGAAAATATTTAATGTTTAAATATTTACCATTCAAATCTATATTTTGTTTATCTGGTTTTGAAGTTAATGATGAAGCAGACTCTGCATTTTGTAAATCAGTACAACTATTATTTTTTACCATTATATTATCAACAAAACGTGTAATGCCAGTTTGTTCTATTAAGTTAAAAAAATAATATAGTTTAATATAAAAATATCATTAAGTAGTATCATAAGTAGGTACCTCCCTACCAAACAACTAAAACAATATAATATTATGTTACCTATTGCATCGTTTAATTTGTTTTCATTTAATTTTGAAGTTAATAATGAAGTTGTCTCATTTTGTAAATCAGTAGAATCATCATTTTTTACCATGACATTATCAACACAACTTGTAATAGTAGTTAGTTCTATGAAGATACAAAATAGAATTTTATCTTAAAATATAATTAATTATCTATCAACCAATTGAAAATAATATATAAGTTACTTACCTATAGCATCCTTTGAATTTTTTTCACCTGGATTTGAAGGTAATAATGAAAAGGACTCTGTATTTTGTAAATTACTCTGAAGCCATAGTTGGACTTTAGTTTTATAGTTTTGATTCATAACAGGTATGTTTTGTTCTGACAACAATTCTGTATAAACCATAATTAATTACAACTAATAAAATATAACGTATTTACTATGTATGAAAAAAAATTATACGACATACCGGCTCTTTTAGCAGACTGAATGTACATATTGTTATTAATTTTACGTTTTTTTGTAGTAACATTGGATACGTTATTATCTTCGTAAATTGTATTGCTAGAATTTTGCACGATATTGATCATTTTGGAGCTACGCGTAAAACGTTTAAGTACAATACGAGTATAATTTATAATATTATAATATTTAATGATTCACTATTAAAATAAAAATTATGAAATGTTTATCATATTTTATCAATACAGTTTTTATACCATTGTTTTCAAACCAAAGTTTAATCATATTAATAGTAACTACATATTATTTTATAATGTTATTAAAATAGAATATTATCTAAATCCACGTTTTTCAATTTATTACTTTGGTCACGGTTAGGTATAATATCAGATTATTATCATGGTTATCATTAAATATAATCGCCACATTATCAATTAATTCTCATATCACTATAATCAATACCGCCATTATTAAGATTGTGGCTAATAAAACAAAAGGCTGATAATTTATTACTGCCGCAATCCGAAATGTGGCAGTTTTAATTTTTTCAAAGGTAGAAATCCAGTTGAGAATTATTAAGTTGAAACGCCTCAAATCAAAATGAGGCATTTATGATTTTTCATGTTTCTAATAAAACAAACATACAAATACGCAACAAGGCAATAAGTCAAAATATGGCGGTATTATTTTTCTTTTACTATAAAAATGAATAAATTCAATAGGTACTGACACAAATGTATTACGGATACGTTCATTGTGATACGACTTGTGGCAGTATAGCATTTAGTAGAGAAAAATAATAGCTATCGAACTGTATGCTTTACTCAAAACATCGTAATTTTGAGTTGTGGCGGTCTTGTACCAAGGGTGCGATATCATAAGCACATACAACAAAATAAAACTTCAATGTATTGTAGGTATTTTACAGTACGAACCCAATGTTACATAGTTAAAAGGTAATTACAATTGCGATTGAACAAATAGATAGTGATACGGAATGTTACAAAATATAGCAATTTCTATTATATAGTACTTCGACAGTCGTCCATAGACATTGAAGTACGAATATAAGGTTATACAATAACATAATTAATCTTTTAAGTTAAATACAGCGACAATATTTACAGTGATCACAGAATTAAATTTGTCTTTTTTGATAATATAAGGTTTAACAATAACAAGTAAAACAAATACATACATTAGGTTATACATTAAAAGCATTTGTCATTTTGTTGGGTGTAACTTCAAAAATGTTTCTAAGGGTTTTCAGTTGTGGTTAACATGAGTGAGGCAGAATCAAATTTGTCATTTTGTTTGGTAAAAATACTTTAAGCAGAACGTCAGTATATCTTTATAAAACCATTATAAAAGTTAATAACACTATTAAGGCAATACTGGGTTTATCTAATAAGGTCTATGAATTTTTTTGAACGCATATTAGTCTAAGTTAAAATGAATGCTTTATACGTATAAGAGTATTCTGTTTAGATATTATGTGAACATGAATTAAACACGGGGTAGTTAAACATTAAAAATAAAAGTCAATGAAATATTTCTGATAATAAATTAACCTGAGAACGTGACAAAAATATTAAATTGTATAGTGAATAGTGAATAAGAACAACATATACATACAACATATAATAGTTCTCAAGTAATAGTTAACAGTGATCACAGAAAATCAAATGCATTAACCTTTATCATGAAGAATATCGAAGTATACTCTTGAATATAAGGTTTTACAATAAAAATATAAACATTAAAAGCATTTGGTCAATGAAAGTAAATTGTTATAATAGTATTAAGTTGTGATTAATACTGCAAATGAAACCCATGTTGGTGGTTTTGATGTGTGTGGGAAATGAACAAATACTAATGCACTAATCATAATAACCTCAGTGTTGTGTCGAGAAGTCTCCAGAAACAAAAAACCTCGAACACAGCTTGATAGACTTGTGACCCATAGTGTTGCACGAACTGCGTTCATATCCGTCGAAACCTAAATGTAAATGTGAATGTGAGTGTAACGGTCATGTTCATTCGGACGTAAATGGTTCATACTTACTTGTGTATAGAAACTCCATGGCGGCATCAATGTTTCAACACCAAAATCAGTTGTTCACCATTTTTCAACAGCCTGAAAATGTTAATTCTATAATTATGCTGGAAACCAGTTAATTAATTTAATTTCAAAACGTTTGACGTTAGTTACGAATTCACTCTGCAATGAATAAGCATCCAGAGAGAACCACGGGGAGGTTGTCAAACTTTCTCTCCGACCACACAGGTACCTGCTGTCGCATATAGCGACGGCTAAACTTATAGCAAATAATTAAAAATTATTGATAGTGATTTAAACTGTAATAACTAATAAGTATTAAGTGTAATTGCACTGCTCAAGTTAAGGTTGAACAAAAACGGCCGATCACAACAAGTCTGAATACACTATATTCCTTGTGATAAATCGACCGTCGTCGCCACCGTACATACCAACTTTTATTGATTCCGAGTCCCGCACTCGTGAGAACGCAACGTACAGTTGTCCGTGCGTAAACACCGGGGACGGCAGAAACAAACCAACTCTGTCAAAAGTTTGACCCTGAGACTTGTTGATCGTCATCGCAAACGAAAGTCTCACCGGGAACTGAACCCGACGCATGGTGAAGGGCAGGTCGTCGTCTCCGCTGGACGACAGCGGTATCCTGGGGATGACGATGTCGTCCTGCCCTTCCCCCGCGTCCACCAACAACCTCGCTTTGAAGTTGTTGCGCCACAGTTCCGTAACCACTAACCTTGTTTGGTTGCACAGTCTGATTTCCGGATCGAGGTTCTGCAGCAGCATGACCACGGAACCGACCACCAGCGTCAGCCTGTACGGAGGAAGGACTAAACCTAGTTACATAAGTAATATC